CCTTATGGGGAGGGATCGTCGTCCAATGGAGTGGATACGCAAAATGGGGAGTGGTTTAGGGTTTATGTGAAGGGTTTGATGGGAGAAGATGCTGATGAAGATATAGTTGGGGTTAATGTGGGGAGAGATATTGCTGGGATTGGAGTTGCTGTTTGTGATCCGAGTGAGATATTAGTGTTTGAAGTGAGTAAGGGTTTGGTTAAAGGTACTGAAGTATTGACGGATGAAATTGCAGAATTGAAAGCACTGATTGAAGGGCTTGATGTTGCTTTGATGCTGGGTTTGAAAAGGGTTAATCTTCTTTTGGATAGTCAAACAATCTTGCAATATGTGAGTCTGCAGCAGTTTTTTAAATAATTTTTTAATATTCTGTCATAAGATTAGAATATACAAATTTGTCCTTTAATGTATCTTTTATATAAATAAAAGGAAAGCATGTGTCTTTGCAATTAGGAAGAGGGAGGTTTGTATGTCTGCTTTCGTTGGGACGATAAGAAAGAGTATGTTATTGGGTCTGTCAAGTTTTATCTTGGAGGATTAATATGTTTTGGGAGGATCATCTCGCTTATCATACAATGTATACCTCGCCGCTCTGTGTGTAGAGTCGAGGGAATTAATACCTCATTACTTTAACCCCTGGAGAATTTATTAGTTTTCTATGAATCACAAGTATTATTAGATGGGTGACATTGGAAACACGTGATATTATGATCTTAGGCTTATTATGGTGCAACTAAGAAGGTATTGACATGATTGATGTATATTTGTTATGCAGGTTAGCGGCACGTTGCATCCAAGGAAGGGTAATATTGTTGGACTTGTTGAACAGGCAACTTCTTGCCTAAAAAAATTTACAGATTGTATACCATCTCTTGTGACACAGAACACGATCAACTTGGCAATTAAACTTGCTTCCGATGCAATAGTCTCTCAGGTTAGAGGACCAGCAGAAAATAGCCTTCGGAAGAGCATCACTGAAACTTGTACTATTTGTCTGCAAGATACTGATATAGATCATATGTTTCTAATTAATGGTTGCCTGCATTATTATTGCTATTCTTGTATGAATAAACATGTGGAAGCTAAGCTCCTTCAAGGAATGCTACCTAAATGCCCTCATGATACATGCAAGTCTGAATTGAAATTAGATAACTGCAAAAAGTTCCTGATACCCAAGCTATATGATTTGATGAGTGAACGTGTAAAGGAAACTACCATTCCTATCACGGAAAAGATTTACTGCCCAAATCCCAAGTGTTCTACATTGATGTCAAAAGCTGAGGTCTCTGCGGGAGAACAGCAAGCTGGGGTTACAATGTGCACGAAATGTCACCTTAATGTCTGTATCAACTGCAGAGTTCCTTGGCATAAAAACATGACTTGCTTTGACTATAGAAGACTTAACCCTTACTTGTGTGTAGAAGATGCAAATCTCAAGTCTCTTGCCGCACAGAGTCGTTGGCGTCAGTGCGTAAAGTGCAACCACATGGTGTCTCTTGGCGAAGGTTGCTATCATATTTACTGCAGGTTCTTGGCTTCTCCTTCCTTTTTACGTTTTTGCCTTACATGGTATAAAATTAACTTAACTAGGTAATAGGGAAAATATTGACTTATTGGAATGCTTATATTAGGTAATAGGGAAAAGATAACTTTTTGGAATGCTTATATTAGATATTAAGCTGGTCAATAGAATCGTAACATCATATACTTGAGATGTTTATGAGACCAGAGTTAAAGTCATGAAGAACGTAGTCTAACTTGGAAACGAAATTTTTTAATTCTAGGTTTACAAAGCCAGGATCAAGGAAATTCTAGGATTTCTTGAATGTTTTAGTTCTTTCACTGTGAAATTCTTACTCCATTCCGACTTGTTATAAATTATAATTTTGGTTGGAGTCACGTTATGCTTAGATAGGTGCACTTACATTTTAAAAATATTCCACTTTCCATGAGAGAACTTTTAAAGTATGAAGATTCTCATGTCTTTACAAGTGATTAAAAAATTTATAGTTGCCGAGGGTCTTTTGGAAACATCCTCTCGGCTAATTGGCTAAGGGTTAGCGTACACCTTACTTGTGCAAACTCTTCACTTTTGATACTGCACCCGTCTCAGATTCTCCAAATAGTTTTGGCAAATCCGACACGCGCCCTTTGGCACTTTTGAAGAGTCGGAGCAACATAGGCGTACACTCTACCCTCCTCATAAAATTTGTTGTGGTCAAGGTCTGCTTAGACCATCTCCAACCCATCTCTATTTTACTCTCCATTCTCTATATTTGGAGAGTAAAATAGAGAATGGGTTCTCCAATCACTCTCTATTTAACTCTCTATTCTTGGAGAACTACTATTCACCTCTCTATTTTACTTTTTGATTATTATAATATTATTTCTATGATATTACTAATTTAATATTTATCATTTGTAATTATTTTTCAATGCAATGTAACATTTAACAAGTTACTACTTCGGCCAAATTAATCATTATTTTGTTTTATTTTAAAAAGAAATTATCACTTTAAATATGTAACTTAAAGTTATTTTAATATTAATTATATTGTATAAGATTATTAATTAAGTCTCTAATATTTGTAATTATTTTCTAAGTAATATAATATCTAAAACATATAATTCATTTTTAATTTTTATTGATCATTTTAAATATGTAATTTAGATTATAATTATTTTTCATTATGAAGTATGCACAAAATTTACATGATAATTCAAACAATCTACTTTTTATGTGATGGTGATAAATTATTAAACTATACTTTTTAAATAGCATGAAAATATTTGATTCAATTGTTCAAAATAGAATATTGGAAGTAAATTAATACACGAAATAATTGGATACAAGGTGAAATTGTTAATTTATACAATTTTAGCTTCACATAAAAGATAAGGACAAAAATGCTCATTTTGAACCCCGTAATACATTAATAGAACATTCATGAGAGCAACGTAATGGTCTTGAAAGTTGAGTATTTATATAAGATTTAAAATAATTTTATGATAATACAATATTTATGATGCAATTATATTTCATCTATTATTTCACTTTTATTTGAATTGTTCGTTAATATGTATTATATATAATATTTATCGCAATTTATGTTATTTAGAATAAAATATAATTTTGTATTATATGAAGAGTTTGAAAAAAATAAATTTTTGTATTACATAAAGATTATAGAGGGATTATTTTCAAAAAGAAGAAATGATTTATATTATGAAATAAAAAAAATAACAATAAAATAGATATAATGATATAGTATTGAGGAGAGAAAAAAAAATTCTTTTTTGAAGAGTAAAATAGAAAATTGGGTTGGAGTTGATTGTCAAATATAATAGAGAACTCTATTTTTAAAGTGTAAAATAGAGGATAGGGTTGGAGATGCCCTTATACTTTAACCCTTCTCAGCCCCTACTTATGGGACTACTACGATGGGTATGTAAGCTGGTTCACTACCTACCCTTAAATGTAAATTTTTGTTGACTTCATTTTCTATTATTAGAAATGGCGGACGTACGATTCATTCATGTTGTAAGGGCTAAGATTGAGATTGAGTACTTTAAATGTTTTTCCAGATGTGGTCACGAGTTCTGTGATACATGCGGAGCTGAGTGGAAGAACAAGAAAGCAACATGTTCCTGCCCAGTATGGGATGAGCGAAATATCATTTATGACAATAGACTCCAACCAAGGAGAGGCTGATCAGGATATAACCATTACTTTCTATTTTGCACCTGAATAATAATTTCACTCTCATATGCATAAGACCTTGGTGGACATGGTTAACAAGTATTTGCATTGTTGAAGGTAGGTATATATTTGGTTGAACAGTTGAGGTGAGCCCAAGTTGGACGCTACCTGTTGAGAAAAAAGGGGTTGTTTTCATATGTCTAGTTCTTTTGTTTCATGGAATCGTGTTAATACGTGCTGCGAGATTGCCAGTAGTAGGGGATAGAAATCAAAGTTGAGGATCTGTGACTGTGACAGTCTATGTTTTTCTGTTCAATTTTATGATATTCCAGTAAACTAGTTGTTTTTTTAGGGCAATATTGAAAAAAGTTGCATTTTGGTCATGTTTGGAAAATTTTACATAATAGGATAAAATAAGCAATTCTATGATTATATTTGCTTGCAATGAAGATGTTCAATACTTCTACGATACACATGCTCCCAATGTATTATTTGATAGTAGTACAAAATTTGTATTTCAATAAACAGTTTAGTGTAGTACATAGTTTGTATTTCAATAAGTAGTGAAGTGTGAGTTTGTATTTCAATAAGTAGTGAAGTGTGAGTTGAACATTTAAATTTTCAGATAGACAAGTACAATGTGAATTATGTAAATTTACCAAGGAAAAAGCATTACTTTTATATTATAATTATATAGGAATAAATAACGAAATCCTTCTCTTTATATCAGTGTTTCCTACATCATGTTTCATTTTTCGTTTTACATTGCAAGACACCGACTTGTAAGACTTTGAAGTTTTATGGGATTTTTTTTTATGTTGTATATTTGCACATCAAAATTATGGCCGAAATGTTACTTGTCCAAATTTAAATCAAGTTACTTGGCTACGTGGATAATTTGCCCAAGGATATTCTTATGTTGCTATTTAAATATTGTCCACTCTGTTGATATTCTTATGTTGCTATTTAAATATTGTCCACGCTGTTGATATTCTTAAGTTTAATAATGAATGACACGATTAATGTTTGATGTTGTTAAAAGTATAGATAAACATTTTATCCTAAATAGCTGGAGAAATCAAAATTGATATGACTTGCAAATTATGATATATCGAAACAATTTCACATTATATTTAGTTTAATTATCTTGTTGAAATATTTCTAAAAGAAAAAGAAAATTACATTTCAAACACAACTTTGTGTAAGCAATGTCAAAATCTTTGATTCCATGTTTTAAGAAAGACTTTTAAAATTTGGTAAAAAAATCGTGTAATTGTAAATTATTTTATTAATTATTTTTTTTAAAGGTTGATCGATAGTATATTATTTTATTAAATAACAAGCGACATTGTTGCAAATACTGCCAGAAAATGAGCGGTTCAGTGAAGAAGATCGCCGACGTGACTTTCAAGGCCGGCAAGACTATTGATTGGGAAGGAATGGCCAATCTTCTCGTCAGCGATGAAGCTCGCAAGGAGTTCTCCAATCTCCGTCGCGCTTTCGATGATGTCAACTCCCAACTTCAGACCAAGTTCAGTCAGGTTTCCTCTTTTTTCAATAGATATTTCCTCTATATGGATCTAGATTTAGATTTTGATTGCTATTGGATCTATTATATGGTCAAGTACTAATTTGGTTGACGCTCTATCATATTTTTTTTTTCTGGAATTGATTTTATTGGGTTTTGGGATGTTTATCTAGCAAATTATGGACCTGATTCCATTAAGGAAAAAAGGTCTGATATATCTCAACTTTGTTATTTAGAGCTGATATATCCTCGTTATAAAAGTGGCTTATATATACCCTACTTGTAAACAAATAGCTCACATATATACTTTTCCTCTCACGGAAATGGAAAAAAAAATTTAATCTAAATTTTTATTTTTTTTAATTAAAAATATAATCTCATATGAGTAAATTTAATCCTCGTCAAACATATTTTTTCTGATTTTTGTTCCAATGACTAATTTATAATATTATTTTGATAATCAAATTTATTTATGTTT